ATATGATCCCTTTTTCTATTCTTAATGAACTGAAGCCATTTGGCTTATGCAATAATAACCATTGCAGTCCTGTAATCCTGTTGTTACTTTTATATGTAAATTTCATTTAAAATAGCTATTAATTACGTTGGATATTAACAACATCACAATGGTTAACGTTGTATCCAACATACTCATAGACAAGTTCATTCAATTTCTTTCTTTGGTAGCTATTTCAGCTTAGAATTATAAAGTACTGCTGCCTCGATTCAGTTTGCAGGAAAGAGTGAAGTGCTTATTCAGAAATACACATGATCCTTACCATCAACGAGGTGAAAATCGAAATGTTCTTTGATTTTGATGCTACTTCATTAGGGCATCTTCACAAAATTCATCTCTCATAGTGATCTAGGTTCTTGTAGCCAATTTTATTTTTGCAAGATCGGAAAATGCATATTTCAGCAAAGCATCTAATTCGAAATAGAAAATATCAATTATGTTTGTGTCATACCTGAGCAGATCACTTATTAGCGATTATCGATTCCAGTTCAATACATAATCTCAGAAGGAGCAAAACCAAAAGAATAAGTACACGTGCATGCGTTTACATATTCACTAAAAGTGCTTTGATAAACATCAAGAAGAAACTATTAATCCCTCTGCAGCACGATTGGCAATCCACCCTTTCAGTCAGCATTTGCCTCCCGAACGGTGATCTATCAGCCAGAGAAAGGCCACCACCAAAAATTCATATTTTCCACCTAGGTACATGGCCACCGCCAGTACTACTCGCAGCTTCTCTTCTGGAACAGCCCTAGCCATACTGGAACAGCCCTAGCCAGTGCGGCAACCCCGCACCCATGGTTTTCTAGTATCTCCAAATCTTGAGCTATCTAAGGTGCAAAGAGACTCCTCTGGTGGCCCAAATAGCTTTTTATAAAAATTGGTAATGTAACTTTTAAGATTTTACTATGCCCCTATCTTTCCTTCGTCCTGTGCTCCGGAAAGAAAATTAGTTTTCTTCTATATTTGCCATTCATGATTTGGACACTCATAATTTCGAGAGCTTTCCTGCCGCATCTGGTGGATGACCAGTAGGAAAAAAAAACAGTTGATTGTTACCTATAATAATGATATCTTAGATAATAATAATAAAATAACTGAAAACTGCACTAAACTCTAAGAGGAACCGGAGACTTGTTAGCCCGGACAAGAATACAACCATCTATACCTGATGGAATAATGCTAGTAAGTTCCAGAATGGACGCGAACAACCTGTAGCAGCGATGCAATAAATTATGACAAGGCCATCCATTCGTGCTTCATATCCTGCCGGCGACCTCAGGGCATTGCATCGCCGGCATCACTGTCCGACAAGGGACGAGCACAGGAACTTTTAGGACCATCTCACCATCCATTTAATGCATGACTACGTGATTGTTCAAGGATGTGGCAACAAGGAGCAACACACTACTGACTGAATCAGGAATAACTAGCTAGTTGCAGTTGGATGTCTGATACGTAATGGTAGCTGCAGACAGCTACTCATGTTTTTGGATCTTGGGACAGTGATCGGCGAACTGTGGAGTGACCTGAGTGGAAGGAAATTGTGCCAAGTTGGGAGTGCAGAGAATTTCTTGGCACATCATTATTGGGCCTTAGTTTTGGGTGGTTGGTCAGCAAGATTTAAGATGTGTTCAGTAGATGATTGTGATAGAGGAGTACTTCAAGTGGATGATTTGGAGGAGTAAATAAGCGCAACACAAATAGAACTTTTTAATTATCCTTTTTCCTCTAAAATAAAACATTTCAAGATCCATGCCTCTCGGCAATGAACTTTTTAATTATACTTTTTCCTCAAAAAAAAAGAGAAGTTTTCAAGATCCTACTGACTCTACGCAGGTGATATAGAAGGGTTAGACTATTTCTAGAAGAACGAGAGAAAGGTTGATATTAGAATGTTTCAAAAGGTGAATACTGGCAGATTTAATTTTGAGCTGTTTGGTCCATGTAAGTTTGCCATCAATAGCCACAAATTCTTGTTTCTGTAGTCTAGGGTTAGTTCCAGTGTTTTAAATAGCGGGTTATAGTGGAGCTATTGCGCGGCGCTATGGAGCTCACGTCATTTGTTGCCACTACAACACTGTTGTACTAAATTGCATGCTATAAATATAGTAGTACTATAGCGGAATATAGCGGCACTACTATGGCCGAGCAGACTTCTTCACTAAATACTATAGCCTCCGATTTAAAACACTGGTTAGTTTACGAAAATCTTTGCTACTCTTTAGGTTGACTGACATAATAATGCCACACTTCTTTTCGTCATTGACGTATGGGACATGCATGTGGCAGCAGGAAAAGAATCTTGAAATAAACGTGATTCCGAACCAAATAGTTGCCTAAGGATCTGTTTGGATCTTGATTAAATTATAGTAATTTAGATTATGGAAGAGACTATAATAATCTGGACTATGGATTATAATAATATATTGTTTGGATCCTACATTAAAGAGATGGATTATTGTTAGTTTGAGTGCAAATGAACTATGAACACAAAAATTAGGTTGGAGGGACATTATAGGATTATTATATTTTGGTGATTGGATTATCATAATCTAACCCATAATATGAGTTATTTGGATGCCCTTTAAATTATTTCATCTAATTACTATACTCTAACTAGAATCCAAACATCCACTAACCTGGTCAGACCTAACTAGTCTTAGACATGACATGGTGTGGCAGGTTTTGGCTACAAACCAAACAGGATTAGGGTGACAGAATCACACAAAGCAATTGACAAGATGTGACTTGGGTGGACACAATCACACAAGGTAGTTGCCATGCTATGACTTCTTTTTTTGAACCATACGGATATCGACAAAAATGCACGTTTATCCGTTTGAACACACTCAAACAAATTATACCCATTGAAGACCTCCAAAATCCAGTAGATCTTGAAGTCGACGAATGCATACTCACCCGGCCTTATGAATGCAATACGCGCACCCTATTCCTATGAGAATAAGCAAACCCTAGCCTATGAGCACCTCCAAAAGCCAGCAGATCTCAAAGTCAACGTATGTATACTCATCCCTATGAACGCAATGCACAAACCCTTCCTATGAGCACGCAACTCTTTGAAGTGGTTCAGGTTCAGTTCGCATCATGCGGTGACATCAGTATGAATCTTGGGGTTCAAATTTAATTATCTTATTAAAGAAAAACTGGCCCGTTGGGTTGGCTACTGTTTCATAGATGAAAAGTGGCCACAAGAAATTCTGAGATTTAGACCCCAATAATTGCTACATGGTCTGCAGCTGGTTGTCTAACAGAGTCGATCATTTAGAAGAACTAAAGTTTGCAGGAAAAGCAACCTTCCAGATCAGATGTGAGAATCTGATGTTTTCCTTAAGCAAACAATCAAGCATGATTCGTCTAATCTGCACTAAAATTTGAAACATCGATAACGCATTGGCTTTAAGTGGATATCTAGCCGTGTATTGTTAGTGCGACTTAGCATGTGTCTTTTGCTCCTCCAGTAACACTTATGTAGTCATGATTCATGAGTCATGAAAGCATCCAAATAATTTGCTTTTCCTTCAGAAATGTTTATTTAACTAGTACTTCCTCGATCCAAAAAAGATGGAATTCTTATTTTTCGAGGAGTAAAACGACCTAAAGTTTGACTAAAATTATATAAAAAAAAGTACTAACATTTATGATACAAATTATGTATTATTAAATTAATTATGAAATATATTTTCATGATAAACCTAGTTAGAGATATAAATGTTAATATTATTCACTGTAAATTTTGTCAAAGTTAAGGTAGTTTCACTTGCGTAAATCCCATAGTTGTATTCTTTTGTGGATGAAAGGAGTAATAAATTGTTAACAATATTGTTTGCACAAGTTCCGGTAACATCACTGAGCACCATGGAAGATACAAATTCATGTGTTATCACACTAGCCTTTTGAGAACATCAATTCTTTTGCAATGTCAGAGTATCACATCAATCAGCATTATTCTGATTATCCTATGAGCTTTTGTTTACTAAATGTATCACTGCAGCGTCAGACCCATAGAAGATGGCACATGGCATTGTAGTTCATTGGTCACTGTTCTCTATGCATGTCCTTTTACTTTTTGAGAAAGAGCATCCCAGAGAAAAAGAATCCCAGGTGTGCTTCTTGTAACCATTTTTATATTATGTTTGGCTATTCTCCAGCTGGCAAGAGCAACTACAAGAGGTTCTTTATATCATTCGTATGGATACGAATAGAGTTTTTGTTGAAAAAAATATCTTCCAGCAGCTTCTTTAGTTAGATCTTTAAATATTTCATCGCCTTTCGTAATTTCACACTAGCCAAAGATGAAGAACAAGGTTGGCTTGAGTAAACACAAGATATAAAGAAGTTGTTGAAGAGTAAAAAGATATAGAGTGATTTTTATTAAATAGCTCTCTAGGTGAGGGGTCTAAGAAAGACTCTTGGAGACGCTTTAACAACCTCTTCTCTTCACTTGAGTTAATTATTTAAGTTTTGTGCTAAGTTTGTTTCTTTAGGAGACAAATTAAAAAATTGTCATTCAGCTGTTTTTTTTTGTTTTAAAAAAATTGTGACAGAAGCAATGTTCAAAGTTCAAACAAGAACCGGCACCACTCATATATTTGTTCTATGCGAACCGATATTATTAGTTTAAATATTGGTACAACAGGATGCATATATGATCCTGCAGGTTGCATGAATGGATGATTACTGTAGAAAAGCAGAAGCAAGAGTGCTAGATCGATGCGAGTACGACGTAGAATCATACATGTATTAGCATTATCCATATATGGAGTATGCTTCTTTTCCGATATGGTGGGTGTCCTCACACTTGCCTACGCCAGGGATATAACCCAGGTCGCCGGAGGCAACAGTAGTACTGCGCATAAACAGCTCCGGCTACTGCAGTTGCTTCGTCTCTTGTGAGTTCAGCTCGCGGCAATTCAGCGCGGCGGCCACGAGTTTCTTCAGTACTGGCCGGGCCAGAGGAAGGCGCCCATGGCGAACTTTCTCTTGCTGTCGAGGTCGCCGTCGACGGGGAGGCCGTACTCGCGGAGCAGGCAGTCGACGCGCCACTCCGGCATGCTCTCGTAGTCCGCCTTCTTGTACCGCGGGTAGTGCAACGGCATCTGGAAGGCGTAGCTACTGCAGTTCATCTTGGGGCCTTCTTTCTGCTGATCGGCGACAGCAACAACGCCGTTCTTAGCACCAACGCTGGCTGCCTTGGCCATGTTCATGCTGCTAATGGTGCTTGGGCCTAGGGAACCCATGCTTTATGTTTGTGCTTGCGGGTGTTTGTGTGTGTGTGTAACAGGGTAGATGTTTGTGTGTTTCTTGTGTGTATAAGAGGGTAGATGTGGGGCCTTTTATAGAGGAAGGAAAGAACGATGTGGAGGATGCTAGAATGTTAATGTGGAGCTAGTTGCTGAGAGAATGCTGTATGCGGGTCTTTGCTTGCAAGTTGGCATTCATGTGGATCACCCATCCACTTGCAGTATTGCAATCATATACCCGCTCTTATCGTTTATCAAATGATTTATACAAATTAAATTAATTAATTTATCCTTTAATGATTATTGAGCCATGCATGATTGTTCGGATATTACAATATGATAGTTGAGAAAATTGAATGATATTTCCTCTGTTTTTAAATACAGGTATCAAAGTTTTAAAATTTTTCCTAAATTAGAGCATCTCCAATAATTTTTAAATAAACAATTGGTAAATCAATAACAATAAGTTTTCCAAGTCCCTAAAGAAAGTAGGGAGCATATTTGTTGTCTTTCTCCAAACATTTTTAATATCACACTTCTAAAAGCTAGAAAACAATTTTGTATTAGGAATCTCGGACTATTTTTAAATCGTCCCAACCACTTTTATATTTTCTCTCTTATACATTCACATTGGGAAATCAGTCCTTTTCTCCCTTTCTTCCCCCACGTACTTCAACCTCCGGACCGACTGATGGATTCACGCGCATATATTTCGGTGTGATTAGATCGATTTTCTCAAGCGCAGAAAGATTGGGAGTTGAGATAAAGAGTTTGTTGGAGATATGTCTTTTTCATTCTTATCAAAAAAATCAAGATTGGAGTGAGTTTTGAAAACTCTTGGAGATGCTCTTACAAAATATATTCTAGACTGCTCAACCACATCCAAACATGTCTGTGTTAATATTAAAATCATCCATGCATATTTTTTAAACACCACATGGCGCAAAATGACTCATATATAATTAGTAAATGAAATAAACGACACGCATGCATGTCTTTGAAAATTATACATTACTAGGAAATTAAGCAAGTTGACAACCAAGCTAACTAATTAGTGAGGAGAAGTTAGTCTTTTTGTCAAACTCGTTATTTAGTTCTAAAATTGCTTAGACACATTGTATTATATTTCAAGATAGAGGGAGTACCTTGGTTGGTAAAGCCTCTATTTATTTGAGGTGAACCATGAGAGACATGTTCACTTTGTGATTGAGTTCCTTTATTTATATATTATGATAGTTTTCGAATGATAAATACAACATAGAAACTAACCATTTCATACTCAAAGGTAGACAGTTAAAAAGTAACAGATTGATGGCTCCTATAATAGCCCACATAGACGAATAAGACAAGTAGCTAGGAAACAACAAAACCAGAGGCTTCCAAAACATAAATCTTTTTTCGACATAAAACTAAATCATATTTTTAATGAACTCCTTAATACTTTAGTTTGAGGCTGTGAACATTGCATTGATAAATGCCATAAAGTGACATGCACCTTCTTGAGAAGGAAATTCAATAAATAAGATGATGGGGATGGCCGTAGAGAGGACTAAACAATTACATCAACAGCACTATCAAAAAAATTTACGTCAAGTTGTCCACAGACCATAGTGGTGATGGTTGTAAACCAGCTCCCTAGGTCACCTCTAGAAAGCTACAAAGGCCCTAGGTGGCAGGGTGCTTAGCTTAGCTGCCTCGAAATTTGATTTATGGAGTAGCAAGTGTGTTTATGATAGTTTTTCATAATCAAGAGGAGACAAACACCATGTATCACCACAGGTGAATGACACTTATTTTTTCAAGTGGCTGGTGGTAACCCGTTTTCAAAGGCATGTTTAACCAATCGGCTGACGCAAAAGTGACATGTGTAAATCAATTTCCATATGTGGATGACTAGAAGAACAGCATATAGAAATGCTTATTCCATACAAGGTTTTTCAAGCTAACCACTTGTGCAAAATGATTTTTTTTGCAAGTCGCCTACCATTAAAAGCACAACGCCGTTAATAGTTTGCTCGAGAAGAGGATAAGACATGCCTATCGCTTCGACTGCTTCTCCGGAGGAAAAGATGCCTCCCATAAGATGTGCCTAGAGATAACAATCATTTCTGAATCTTGTATAAGTGATCAACTACATGATTGCCTCCGAAAAGGTGGACAATCAGGAGGAAATGCATTATCTCCCTTACTATGCAAGAGGGTGAAAACTCTAGTTTGGTTTTGGTGAATTGATGAAACCCTAAGTGCTAACCTAGTTTATCAAAGTGCTCATGAGATAGGTAGCACATTCCAAGTGGCGAAGCAAATGAAGATCATGACATTATGACGGTGATGCCATGGTGATGATCAAGTGCTTGGACTTGAAAAGAAGAAAGAGAAAAACAAAAGTCTCAAGGCAAAGGTATAACTGGTAGGAGCCATTTTGTTTCGGTGATCAAGACACTTAGCGAGTGTGATCACATTTAGGTTCGATAGCCGTACTATTAAGAGGGGTGAAACTCATATCGAAATGCGGTTATCAAAGTGCCACTAGATGCTCTAACTCATTGCATATGCATTTAGGATCTAGTGGAGTGCTAACACCCTTGAAAATGTTTGTGAAAATACGCTAACACATGTGCACAAGGTGATACACTTGGTGGTTGGCACATTTGAGCAAGGGTAAGAAACTTTACCGGCGGAGTGTTCACCCGTAGAGTGCGGACAGTCCGATGGTGCCACCGGCGCCTTGTACAGAAAAGACAGGATTTCACAGAGTGCACCGGACATCGGCCTCAACTGGACCGGTGCGTCCGGTCAGTAGAAGCAGTGAAGACGCTGGCGTCGGTCTTTGACCAGACACTGGGTCACTTCATGACTGAACGCTGAGTGGGTGCATCCAGTCCCGCTGACGTGGCAGCATAGAGGAAACAGTGTGTGACCGGACGCTGGGTGAGTCCGGTCGGGCATGACCGGACGTGCCTGGTCGCCTCTGGAACCTTACTAGAAATGATCGAAAGTTGGTGTTTGTGCGTCCGGTCACTTCGAGCAGCGCGTCCGGTCATCACTTGACCGTTGAGATCGGACGATCAGCGTTTGAAGCCGATGACACGTGGCAAGCATCGGGCGACCGGACGCTAGGGTCCTGCGTCCGGTTGATCTGACCGGAGCATCCGATCACCCCGAGTTGTGCCCAATGAAGGGGTACAACGGCTCTATTTTATGGGGGCTTCTATTTAAGCCCCACGGCTGGTTCTAGCTCTCTCTCTTAGACATTTGCATTGACATAGCAACCTTGTAAGCTTAGCCAAAGCCCTCCCACTCATCTCCATCATATATTCAACATCTTTGTGAGATTGGGAGTGAATCCAAGTGCATTACTTGAGTGTTTGCATCTAGAGGCACTTGGTGTTCGTGTTTCGCTGTGGGATTCGCTTGTTACTCTTGGTGGTTGCTGCCACCTAGATGGCTTGGAGCAGCGAGGATCGTCGAGCGGAGGTTGGTGATTGTCTTCGGCTCCGATCGTGGCGATTGTGAGGGGTTCTTGACCTTTCCCCAGCGGAGAGCCAAAAGGTACTATAGTGAATTGCTCGTGGCTTGTGTGATCCTCATCTTGTGTTGGTTGTGCGGCACACTATTGAGGGTTTGGCGTGTGATGCCAATTAGCGCGTGAACCTCCAAGTGAGTGAATCACCACAACAAGGACTAGCTTGCAGGCAAGCAAGTGAACCTCGGTAAAAAATCATTGTGTCATCATTTGATTCCGAGGTGATTGATCTTTATTGGTATTCATCCTTGTGATTGATTGGTTCACTCCTCGACACGGCGGTATAACTATCTTGCTCTCTCTCTTTACAATACTACAAACTAGTTGTCAAGCTCTTTAGTGTAGCTAGTTATGAGAGCTTGTTAGTTTGGTTAGTGTGACTCTTTAGTTAGCATTTGAGAGCACACTAACTTCGTGTAGTGACATAGCTATTGTGTGGATAGAAACTATATATAAACTAGAATTGTGGTAGGTGGCTTGCAATTTTAGTAGGCTAGCGCAACACTTGCTTCGCCTCATAATTGTCTAACTGGTTTGCTAAGTGTTGTTGTAGAATTTTTTAATAGGCTATTCACCCCATCTAGCCATTATGACCTTTCAAGTGGTATCAGAGCCAATGTCACCGTGATTTGAGGATTAACAACCTTCGGTGTGAAAATTGCTCAAATCAACAACACCAAGAAGCCACCCCAATTTGATGGCTCAAACTATCCCTATTGGAAGGCTAAGATGACAACTTATATCAAGTCAATCAATAGGAAGGTTTGGAAGGTGGTGGAGACAAAGATTGAGATTGATGATGAAGAGGCTCCCACCGTCGCCGAAGAAATGCTACTCCAAAATAATGACATTGCTCTTAGTGTCATCCATGATGCTTTGGATGAGAGAACTTTTAAGCAAATCAAGAACATTGAGAGAGCTCGTGAGGCATGGAAGAAATTAGAGGAATCATTTGAGGGCATTCAAGCCGTGAAGGGTGCAAAGGCATACATTCTCAAAGAGAAGTTTGTAAGCTTCAAGATGAAGGAGGATGAGAGTGTGCCGAAGATGTTCCATAGGCTTCAAGTGCTTGTCAATGATCTCAAAGCACTTGGAGAAGAGTTGAAGGATAAGGACTTCTCCCACAAGTTCTTGAGATGTTTGCCTTCAAGATTTGGCACATTGGTCACTATTCTAGTGAGGAGTGGTTTGGACACCATGACACCAAACCAAGTGTTGGGAGATATAATGACCGATGATACATATAGAGATGATGATGAGAAGGAAGAAAAGAAGGAGAAGAAAGATGAGAAGATGGATGAGAAGAAGTGTGTGGCATTCAAGGCCACAAGCAAGACACATCAAGTGAAGATGATGGCTCATGGGACGATGATGATGATGAGAAGATGGCTCTCTTTAAAAAGAGATTTGGCAAGTTCATGATGATGAAGGGCTACCG